GTAGAGTTTACCTTAACCCCGATACTGACTTCACAATGTATTCTTACTACTTTGGTATTTAATTCAAGTTCCACCAAGCTGCCACTCCAGATAGCCCAAAAAGGTAGATCGAAACTATACACCTCTGGTTCACATGTTTGCTAACATGTGCCCTTTTCCTCCAGAACCTGGAAATTTCAGCAGTCTGGTTGGTTTATCTGGTTCCTCCTTAAAGACCAGCACATTTGTCTAGTTTCACAAGTTCTAGCTTCATTTCATAAGTCTAGTCTTTACAGTAGCACCATCAAAGATTTGGGTTACCTCTCTACTCAGGTCTTCCAAGTAGACTTCTGTCTTCCTACCTGGTTTCTGTGATTTACACTGCCTAAAGACTTATCTTGGATTCACACTGCCCGGTACCAGTTTGTGTTCCCTCGTATAATATTGTACAAATGCCTAAACCTTCCAGTTATGCTGGTATGATACAGGTTACAGGTATCCTATCCCAACTAATCACAGAAGACAATTAGCCATAACACAGAAAGAATTGCAAATTTTCACTATCACTAAGATTTGAACTCTAGACCTGCCACTTGGGGGTTAACAACCTATCCACTTCACTAGGTCACCATACCCTCTATATAAATATAAATTAAAATATTAGTAATTTGAAATATAATAATCTAATAAAGTAGACAAGTTGTTAACTTCCAAGTAACAGATCTAAAATTCAAATCCTACAGATAACAAATTTTGAAATTTATATCTATATTATAGTAACTATCTCTGTCAATTAGTTAAATTGACATATTTGTAACCTTCAGTTACATTTATCTCAAATAGAAGCTTAAAGTATTTATACAAAATATAATATTATATCTATATAAAAGAATATTAATAACTAATGTTGTATAAGACTTTAGTACAAACCTATAATAAGACCACTAAGTGTAGAAAGTAAAGAAACTAACAAGTCAGAAACTTACTTGAAAATTTTGAGTAAGAAAATAGTATAAAACTTTTAACAATACTAATAGACTAATAAAAATCTATAAAATATTTTCAAAAATAAACCAAATAGTAAAATATATAGAAGAGTATATGATCAACTAGGCTGCTAAAATCTTAAAGAAAAAGATACTAAAATATATCATATTAGATTATTTAAATTAGAAGTTTAAAGAGTTCTGTTAGTCCTAAGTAGTAGTTAATAGAAAACAATAAAGAAGATTTTGAAAAGATGAATATTGAAGTTTTGAATAAACTTTACAAATATATTGTAGTTTAATGGTTAGTTTTAACTGCTAAGCAAAATGATATCAGATTAGTTGTAAGTATAAAATATAAAAGGCTCTAGTAGATTTTAATATAAAGTTAAACATGACTTAACAACCTTAGTATATTTTTACTAGTTTATCAGAATTGTTAGTAAGATATAATGAATACAGAATTAGAATGTTTAAATAAAAGATCTACAGATAGGTTCTAGATATAATAACTAGTATAGAACCTTTAGACAAATTACTTAAATTAAACAATAACTAAAATTATATAAGTGACTAGTTGTACACTCTTGCTTTTGTGTTTGTTATATTAACAAATGCTAGCCAATATATACTAAAAATAAAATTCTGAGTTGCATATACTTATCTTAATATCTTAAAAAAAAAAAAGTGATAGTAATTTTATTGAAACAGTAAACAGTTATAAAAAAATATGTTTTCTGATATTTTATTTTTTTTTGTAACATTTTTAGTTTAATTTAGTTTTATTTTTTTGTTATTTTATTTTTTTACAAAAAAATATTATTAGATTAATAATACTTTATTATAAAGTAATAATTAAAAATAATTTTTTAAATAATAGTTTGTTATTGTCTAATATAATAAACTTTACTTGATCACTTTTGAAAATAGTTAAAAAAATTGAATTTAAAAATTAAATCTTTAAACATTATAAATATAAAAGTATCAAGTTAATATTTTTCTTAATAAATATTATTAATATAACTATTTAAATAAAAAATCTGTTTAAGATGTTTTAATTTTAATTTACTAATTTTTTATTACTGATCTTTTTTATATACTTTGCATTACTTATTACTTTAATTTTAACTACATTTGTATTATTTTTTAATTAAGTACTTTGTTTAAATTAAATATAAAAATATTGATATTGCTTTGTTTTTTAGAAAACTTATTTATATAACATTTTATATAACAAACTTTTTGTAATGTTATTATTATATATAATGTTTTTTTTTTGTAAAGTTGATCTTTTTCTAAGAAGTCTTAATTCATTTTTATATTTTATTTTAAAACTTTTTACAAGACTTTGTATCTAATTTGACTTTTATTTAGATTACAAAGTTTTAAAATCTTTAAATTTTGTTTTCAATTTAACTTGAACTGTTGATCTTGTTTGTAAAATTTGATAACTTTACCATTAAGTTATAGAATTCAAACTTATTTTATTTTATTTTATTAATAAATAAAAAATGAATTTAAATTTAAATATAGAAATAATATAATAAAAATATACATAAAAATTATATTTTGAATAATAAATATTGAGTTAAAATTAGCAATAATTTTGACAAACAAATATCTATATTACTATTGTAGCTTCTTTATAAATACGTATATATTTTTAGTAATGCATTACTTATATATTGCTTACTAACAAGACTTTTATAAAATTTCCCTAATATCAGTAAAAAAAAGAATGATTAGAAGCCGTGTAATAATTTTATATATTTTTTTTAAAAAAACCTTTACTAATACGATAATAAAACTGGTTAATGCTTCTAAAACATGCAAATTATTTAAGTTAGAGCTTATCTACATTATATAATTTTTACGTATTAAAAGTACTGTATACGTATATAAAGCGAATTTTTTTTTAAACCAAAATTATAACAAAATTGCAAAATAATAATACAAATTTATTTTAGAGAATTTAATACGTATGACGCCGAAAAATTTTTTTGTTATACAAATGAAGTCAAGATTACACATGATTACGTTTATTCTTGATAATTATTTACGTACAAAGCGGTATTTATAAAAAAAGAAAAATTACCGAAAAAAACCTATCATATATTAATATTTGTTTATACAGAATATATATGGATAGTGTTCTGAGAAAAGGGACCAAAATTGATAAAAAAAAAGGTTTGCGAAAAATGGATTTTTATATTATAAATTCTATAATAAAATATAAGAAAATACAAACTTAAAAAGAATTACGTATACGTACTGCTAAATTTTATTAAGATAACAAATTTATTTTTTAAGTAATAAATTTTCTTAAGCTAATTTTGGATAAATTAAGCTTAAAAAAACTTTTTTGAAATAATTGACAAATTGGACCTTTTTCCCAGAACATGCCCCATATATATATAGTAAGATACGTAGATATATATATAACGATAATGTTTAACGATTTTAACTAAAGTAGGAAATTAAAATTGAATGATATATTACTAAGAAAAACAATAAATAAGTCCACTCATTTTAAAAAAGTAATACGTAATGATCGGATACCTTTGTCCGAGATGTTAAAAAAAAATAAATACTTGAAAAAAACCTGGTAAAATTTGAAATTTTCATTTGACCATATGGTATAATATTGGGGTTGTGCATTCAATTAGTTACACAAGTATAACTCGTGATTAAGTTAAAAGGATCGACTTTTAATTACATAGAACACATGTCGGACATGCGTACAATGTCAGACTTTCCGTTTCCACGAAAAATAATTCACCGGTTGTTGTAATAGAATTATAATTATGAGCCTTAATAAATTCATTAATAAGCCTTAATAATTCATTAATCGTTTAACCATAAGATAATCACCTATATTTATATAATGAATCATATGCGTTAAAATTCGTAAAGACATCATAAATGAGAATCAAACAAACATTTTTAAATGTCTTTACGGATAGAAATTCACAAGCCAGCATACTACAGTGATAATGGTGCGTTGTAAATGTGAACATAATGACTGTAAATGCTAGGCCTGTGGTTTCATTGTTACATCGATCAAGATTCTCCAGTAATGAATGAATCCTTTGTGTTTTATAATTAATTGATTCACAATTTCTTGAGAACACTAAACGTATGGAAAATTAGAATATTTTCTAAAAAAAGCAGACAAAGATTATATATATATAATTACAATTAGAATTAAGACATAATGTGATATTTAAAATTCGGACATTCCAAATATAGCCATGTGAGATATTTGGTGATCAGGGACGTGGATTTGAATCCCCAATTTTTGCAAATTTGCAGATTTTTTTTGCAATTTTTTTTGCAAATTTTTGTTTATGAAGTTCATCCAAAGGTGAGAAAATTCTCTTTAAAAATGATTAATTCCTACGTAGTAATTAATTTCCAATTGACGTTATTTCTAATTGACGTTATTTAGAATTGCCATATATAAAAAATATTAACACTTACCCCTAAAGCACTTGCGTACAATAATATATACATCTTTTTATATTGATAAAATCGGGTACATATCGTATAATAATAGTGTACATCTGATATTTATTAAAATATAGGCTGATTTTCTGTGCTACCTTTCTCAATGGTTATAGTTATATTGTATAAATGTATTGTAAAAATAAATTAGTATATAAAGTATTTTTGCACACATTCAAACCGAGGTTTTTTTTCTGTTTCGTGAAATTCTTTTTTTTTTTTTATTTTCTAGCACCACATAAAAGAAGGCTTCCTGTTGTCAGACAATTCTAAATTATTCATCATTCATTGCTTATTATCCCAAAATTCTAGCATAAAAACAGTTATTTTAGATATATAAGTTATATATGTGCATATACATATAAAACACAACATACTAATACACAACACCTTTACACAAACAAATATCTGAAAGTAACAACAAACCATCAACCTTTTTTTTTCTGTTTCGTCTTTCTTTCTTCCTTTATTTAGAACGTCACCCGTCCGTCTTCTACCTGCTTGATTTTCTTTTCATAATTATTTTATGTTATGAATACATCGACTGGTACTTCGTTGTCAGTCTTTAGTGCAGTTGAAAATTTCATATTGCAGAGACCTCAAGTAAGTAAACCTTTTCTTTGATTATCGTAATATATTTCCTATTTTTCGAATATTCGTCGAGTAAAGAAACAAGCTTTATCCGGTCTTTATCATCTGGGAAGTTCGGCAAAGATTATGCCTGGGTCGTGAACTGGGATTATGCTACTTAATATAGTGATAATATATGGTCATACCACACGTACACGGCTATACATTTTAAACCTTTTTTCCTAATTCTTAATCTGTCCTCATTGCATAATGCATGTCGTTCCTTTCTTCTTTTTTTTACATCATCTCCTCGCATATTTTACATTTAATATTTTCGCGGTGTAGACTTTCACTTAACCTTTTTTTTTTTTTTAACCTGCATGTACTGTAAAACGTGAATACATAATTGATCTGAACTAAGATTAATATTAACTGAGATATTGAACTGAGATTGTAAATTTAAATCATTCTCAAAATCCGACCGTTATCGATAATAATACGTATATATTACACTTTATTGTATATAGTTATAAATATATATAGATATGTATATATGTATATATGTATATATATATATATGTATATATATGTAGTCTATTTCCCCCGTATATTTATAATAAGTCAACTATGACTATAACGATAAGCTTCGTTTCGATTATTCATCTCGAAAAAAAAATTTAATTTTTTCACTTTATTATACTACTTTACTTTCATTCTTTTTTTTTTTTTTTTTAAAAAAAAAAAAATTTTGCTTTTTAAAAAAAAAACCCAATTTCATTAGTATTTTGTTTAATAGAAAACGTTGTATCGTTTTTATTATATATATTTTTTTTAATAGCGACAACGAAGACGATCCAACAGTTCAAACGACATACTGGCGCACGTAAGCGTTAAAGCCGTGAGATCTCCTAGGAGAGATGCCTCATATAATAACATACCACGTCCACCCAGGCTAGCTTATGATACTTCTTCACAAGCTTTCGCTTCTATAATGCCAAGGACACCACCTCCATCTCGACAGGTATATGCTAGACCTGAGTATGGACCACCACAAACTCATACACAATATAGGAACGAGATAAATACTACATACAGAAGTGGTAGTTCACCTTCGAGAGGATCAAGAACTACTAGTTTTGGAAGTAGTACAAGTGGTAGTAGTCGTATGAGTGTAGGCAGTCAGCAGGTACCTTCGTCTTTGTCAGCTTTCTATAACGAACGTATAGAAAAAACGACAAGTTTTGATGATGAGGATAGTGCGGGCGAGGAGACAATGTCTTGTAATTCACCAATATATGATGATTATGATGAAGCATTCATAGTCGATTCAAGTCTTGCGCAAGAAGTTTATTTATTACGCAAGGAAATTGATGCAGTTAAAAATAGTTTGGCAGGTTTACAAAAAAATCGAGTGGATACGTTGAACGAGAAAAAACAACTCGAACAACAATATCAGGAAGCCAAAAGTGAAGTTACAAGAACTTTAGAAATCAGTATAAATGATTCATTATCATTTAGTGAATTATTAAATACAAATGTCCAAAAACTTTCATTAGAATTATCGGATGATAATTCGGACATTAGGTTGGAGGATAATAATAATAATAATAATAATAATAATAATAAAGAATTATCCCCAGAGTATGAAAATATTATGAATGATTGTGTATATTTGGCAAAAGAATTAGAATTATCTCAATCACAACTTGAAAAAAGTAAACGAGATTTTCGAGATCTTTTAACTGTTAAAGAGAAAATTGAAATTAGTTTTGAAACTCAAGAACGAGAATATTGTGAACGAATACGACAATTTGAGGCGGTTATAAGTGGACAATCTATTATGATTGATCAAATGGAAATATTGTTGAGAGATGCAGAAGGAAAAATGGATAAATTAATAAATGAAAAAATAAAGCAACAAGCAGCAGCAGCAGCAGCAGCAGCTCAACAACAAAGTCAACAATCAAAACAAAGTGAATCATATCGTAAAGGTCATCGCAGTCATAATTCGCGATCATCAATAAGTTTTTTGGCACAACAAAGGCAACAATCTGGTTTGAGTTCTATACCACCACGTGATCATAATCGCAGTCAGTCGAAAAGTCATTCGAAACAGAAAAGTATAAATGATTTGACGGCTATTAATGATACCGGTTCTGCAGGCTCAACTGGTTCAGGTAGTTGTCTTGATGGAGAGAAACGAAAATCAGGTCAATTAAAAGACATTACACGAACAATAAACCAAATGGAACATTGTCATTCATCAGAATTGATGCCATCATATTGTTTATCACCACCTAGGGTATATATGATTTAAGTTGTGATATTACGAAATTATGATTAATTATTGACACAATTTTTTATAATTTAATTAGACTCGCATACAATCATATGCAAACCCAGCTTTACTATTTACAGATGAAGAAAGAGTTCGACATCATACACGTTTCAGTAATGTCTATTTAATATATGCATATATTACTTTTCATTTATTCTCGGTAATACCTTTTAACAAAATTTTTTTTAAAATTTTTTTTAAATGTATAGGCCTGGCAAAACGATGGGTTGAAGACGATGAAGTATCAGAATGTCAACAAGCTGGTTGTTTGATCAAATTTAATTGGTGGAATCGAAGGCATCATTGCCGGAGGTATGTAACTTTTTATTATTAAAATAATTTTAAAGCAATTTATATTAATTTAAAAATGATATTTTTTAATAGATGTGGGAACATCTTTTGCGGTACGCATAGTGCCTTCTCTATGTTGCTATTTCCAGATGGTAGTGAAGATTGGGGTGGTGTATGGTCAAGAGTATGTGAAGGATGTTTCAAAAACACATAAGATTGTCATAATTAAGAGTATTTCACTTGATGATTGATGTAATTGCGAAGAAAGTCGAATTTCTGACAATTTTCAAACAAAAACATTAAAGTAAATGGTTTTAAAAGACCAAGATTGTTAATAATGTAATGTACTTTTGAACTTTTTTGTATTTTAGTTGAGTTGACGAAATTTGCAGGTTTATTTACTTCATTGCATTAATTGTAAAGTATTATACGTGTGCTTATTTTAGCACATAATATGGATTAAGGACTTTATTTATTTTATTACTTATTTTTGTTGGATGAACTTTGGTTATATCTTAACTAATATACATGTATATATACATATATGTAAAAAACAACAAAGCATTAGTTTTTAATGAATGAAATGGGTGATATTTGTATATTAATTTTTTTGAATAATCATTAATACAAGTTTTAAACACCGTCAATTCACCCCTTTTTTTTTATAACATCTAATATTGTTCTTTTGACATCATAATGAAATGTGAATTTGTCGTGAATAACACGTGATTGGGTTGCAAAGTTACACGAGAGGCAAGAAGCGTACTACCACTACTATTTCTTGTAATGCAATACAATTATACAAATTTGGATTTCGCGCATGATTTCAAGCTTATTATATAACGATAATTGGTAATTAATTAGTATAAGGCTTGGAATTCTTTGATTTTTTAAACAAAGGATACAAAGGATACAAATGATACAAATTATACAAATTATACAAATGATATAAATGATACAAAGGATAAATGAACCATTTAATCACTAAATGGATCGAAATTTTTTTTTTTTTTTTTTTTTTATAGAGATAATTTTTATATAAAGACATGATTTGTTATCACATTTCATCTGAAATCACATATTCAATATTATATAATACCGATACAGATAATCAAAGTAATTTGAGAATATCAAAAAAAAAAAAACTTTTTTTTTTCCAAAAAATCCGGAAACATATGAAAATTTCGATACCCGATTTTTTGAAACGATTTTCATGACGGTTAAGCCCCTTGATCGTTAACAAGTACAACCGAGATCCATCTTATGCGTCATAAACATGAAAGCACCAATATAACCTATCGCTATGATTTTTAAAGAAAGGTAAACCTTTAATAATCGGTCAAATCCGACACTTTATTTATTTATCGGAGTGTACAGGAAAATATTTTCTAAATGTTTTTTTTTTTTTTTTCCTCGAACCAATCAATATGATCCAAAAAGATTTAGATCATCGTCTTACTTTTGATATAATTTAAATAATTTAAAATGCATTTTAGAAAAAATTTCGTGTTTACTTGGCCGAAATTAATGTTATTTATTGTTATATACTACAGTATTATACAATAACAAAGTTATATAAGATAAAAGGTAAAATACGAGGTGATTAAATTTGAATTTATTTAAGATTATCATTAATAGGTAAAAGATTTTCACAATTCATTACGTACGTACTGGTACATGTTTAAAGGCTTAGCAGAATCATAGACTAGTATTTCTTAATACGGAGTTGTAAACTTGGACCAAACCTTACATGTAAAACATTGAAATTCATATTAGTTATAGAGAGTAGATGGATAAACAAATACAGGATAGATTTGTACGTATATGCTAATACTAATAATGATATTAGTTATAACAAAAATAGTTAAATGAACAAAATACAGAATAGACTTGTACGTACATGCTAGTACCTATAATACCTATAATGATATTAATTATAGTAAAGTAGTTAAATGAATAAATATGGAAAAGACTTGTACATACATGCTAATACCTATTGTATTAATTATATGGTAAGTATCTAGATGAATAAATATATATAGTATAGACTTGTACTTAAATGCTAACATTGATACTTATGGTATTATTTAGTTATAGTAATAAAGTAGTTAAATGAACAAATACAGAATAGACTCATACGTACATGCTAATACCTATGATGATCGAAAAACTGAAATGAAAGGAGATAGTATACTTAATAATAAAATTAATAAAATTAATAAAATTTAAGGTTTAATGTATTGAAATTATTTTAATACACCCCCACATCACCTCCCTCAAAAAAAAAATCAATGATTTCCTGATTTGTTAAAATGAATTTTTATATATATTATTGAAAACTTTATTTATTGGCAGGTGGAAAACCGGTAAAACACCCTTTTCATATTTTCGTCGTGATATGCACCTCGCATTAATGCAGTATAATCAGCTGACCAATTTATGTACCACCGATTTCATGAACTGTTATAAAAAAAAAAACTTAAATTGAAAATTCATTGACAAATTTGAGAAAAGAAATTAAAGTTATATGTATTTTTTTTTTTAAAAAAAAAACAATAATAATCATACAAAAAATATTCGAATTCTAGAATTTCTAATATAATGATAAAAATTCTTAAAACAAGTGACCGAACCGGTTAGAGAAAGAAAAAAATTTTCGAATGGCATTCTGAGATCAAATATGAACCCGAGGTTGATCAAAAATAAGGTTAGCTGCGTTCATCCAACCATATAAGAATTTTTTAGTTACGCCTAAATCTCAAATATAGCACATTTGAGACATTCATGCATGTGATAATTCAATTCTGTGCTTTAGTAATAATCAGCACGTATCATCAAGGCTGAAAATTACTTGATGAAAAATTTTAAGATACGCGTGACCTCCAAGATGTTTTCACGATTGGTTAAAAAAGTTTGTTTTTAATTTTTAAAGATATACAAAGTGATACAACATGTTAGAACCATACAAACAAACACTGCAAACAATGAAATGCACGTGCAGCAATATTTCTATTGTTTTTTTAAATAAAAAAAAAGAATTCGTTAACATTGTTAGCAGTTTTCGTTAGTCTGACATTATGTCAAAATTACACTGTTGAAAAAAAAACTCTCACAACTGTTGTTAAAACAGTAAAATGGCAAAAAAGAAGTTTGGAATTCATTGTCTGTAGGAAAAATTCATTTTATTTCCTGTCGAATAGAATACATAATTTTCGAATTTACAAAGTTATTAAATTTTTATTATTTAACGCTAATAAAATTTAATAAAATTTTATTACTATTTTAATATCACACTGTATCACATGTACTTTGAAATCGATATCACGAAGCGTTGTGTTCATATCCTTAACTCAAACTTTATAAATCCACGTGAATATAATACAAACATTTACAATTACTTTTGATAGAAAATTTAATGAGCACAATTTATAAATTTTTGTAAGGCAAATCCTTAGTGTAATAAAATATTCTATATCTTCGAAAAATAGATTTCCGATCCCAGTTATCGAAATATACCTTACAGCTATCGATCTAACTATCGATTAAACTATCGATCTAACTATTGATTTAACTATCGATCTAACTATCGATTTAATTATCGATTATCATTTTAACCATCGATTATCATTCGGCATCTATCGGTATCCGGTCCATTTCAGTATACATATATCGATATTACTATATTATAAAGACTTGTATATATATGTACGTGCATGTATGCTAGACATTGAAATTCCCAGCAGATGATATAATAATACTTATTAACCCTTTTAACCCTTTAGACGCGGTAAGAAAATGTCCATCGGAAGCGAATCAAAATTAGCGGGGTGCATAGCTGTGTCAGCATTGGTGCCATCCTTATGCCATTAATACGCCGTATCTAAGCGATATCTAGACGTCAAGTATATGTGCGTTGTAAATTGTTGCTAATTTACTTATCATTTTTTCTCTTTATGATTAATGTTTTTCTCGATTAAGTCCAATATAACTAGTTTTAGATTGCGCCTGTAGACACGTATTAGCCCACGATATCTGATAACAACTGCTCGCATCTAATTATATTATCATTGTCAATAACCATTTACATAACAATCAGAACGCAGTGTTGACGTACGCCATAGAAACGCATAGTATCGCATAGTATGTGAATACCACGATTTCCTAAAAAATTTTTTTGATGTAACTTTCTGCTCACTCCTACCTTTACATCTCTCTTAGCAATTATTATTAGCATCCATTCTGGTTTATAAAAAAGCATTTCGCAGATTTCTTACTTATCTCGCTAAATACCGATTGAATTTTAATCAAAATCAAATTAATTATATAAGCACATTCATTTAAAAAAATATAAAAAAATTTAAAGTAAAAATAAACGCGCATATTACTATTCTATTTGTTCCGGATTTCCTTTTATGTCATTTTGTCCTATTTTCCTTAACTTATATCCCTTTTTTCAATAATTATTTGCGGATAACAATCATTGTCATCTATTAGCATATGAAAGAATGGAAAATTTTTCTTCTTTGTTTTTTTTTTTAAGTATGTAACCAACACAACATTAACGAAAAAAAATTCTACTTTTTTGGTCAAATTTATGTTACTTTTACTTGGCTGATTTTTAAAAACAGAAAATCATAAACATCACATGATGATACCTATAGCTTTGATGAATTTAATTTCGGTATGTGGCGACTTTCAGTGTATCAAACAGTAAAGCACGACCTTGGTCTCTCATTTCTAAATCAATTATTCAATTTCTTATAATAAGGGTGAATGGCTGATGTGTTATATTCTGAAAAGTATGTGGCTTACAATTAATTTGAAATTTAATACGTACATACATACTTATATTCATAGTCTTACTTAATTCCTATCAAATAATTTAGTTTTAGACATTGTGTCTACAAAGTAAGCGCTATTTTTCGTGGATACGCCAAATTACTTAAGCAACCCCTTTCATTATACGTATTTAATACTAGGATTAATTAAATATGTAACCATACGTAGGAGGAATTCATTACGTTTTGTTATCACATCCCTATTATATAATTTTAGATACAACAAAAAAAAATTTTATTACGTATACGTATGATTCAAAATATTAGGATATTTTAATATTTACGTTTATTACATTTATTATTTGTTACGGCTGAAGCTACGTAGAAATTTTAAATATTTTAATATGAAATTTTCAAGTACTTTTTTTTATAATTA